TGGTCGATCGATTGTCTGCCGATTTGGTGTTGTCCATTCTTATATATATATATATATGTATAACCACCACCATCTACTGTATCTACTACAGTAGTACTAGTAACGTTAGCTGCCAGTGGATGTCTACCAGGCCAAGGCATTGACCCAAACAACTAAACAATATAAAACCCCTACTACTACTAGTACTACTAACTGTAACTATGCGAATGTGGACAGACTACTAGTAGTACTACTAACTGTACCTATGCGAATGAGGACAGACATCGTGTTATAGACGTCAAAAGCAATCAAAACGAAATATACTGGACGTGTTGTAAACACAAGTTTAGTCGACCAAATACGCGAGTTTGTCCACGAGTTGTTGGCGGGGGACGTCGATGGACGCGTGGTGGAGTTGCCACCCCGCGAGGAATTGCTTTAAAAGAGGTTCGTACATGGTCGTGTGCCACGCCATGGGATGGACGTTGGCGGCGTAGCACAGCACCCGACTGGCCATGCTAAAGTCATCTTCAACGACAAATCCCACCACCACATGCAATAGACTGGTCAGCGCATGATGCTGGGAACTCGATGTCCTAGTTGCGATGGCCATGCGATCTTGGCGCTGGCAGTGGCGGACGACGCGCTCCCACGGCACTTGGGGCATCGATTGTAGCTGCTGGAGGGAAAACCGCACAAGCAGCAGCTCCAGATGGGACGCCGACAGGCGCGACCAGTCAAGCAAGGGCACCGCCGCCATATGAAGCGCTTGAAATGGACTCAGCAGCGCCACAGTGGCAAACTTGCACTCGGTTAGAAACGACAAAGCGTCTGCTTCTGTGAGACTGGCGTAGGCGGTCGCAGTGTTTCGCAGCAACGACTCTAGCAACGGCTCGGCCCAGTTTCGGCGTTGCCATAGACGTCTCCATAAGCTAGGATGGTCTGATCGTCGTGGAGATGGATGGTTGGGAGGAGAAGGCACGTCCAGCTCGAGGCGGGTACATATCACCTTGTGCAGTTCGTCGGGCCACGACCACGACGTGAACGGTGTCGCAGATGGAGATAATCCATGTTGTGTGGTAGTGGTGGTGGATGTTTCCCAGTATATAAAGAGCTGCGCGAGGCCGTCGTTGGTACTGGGAGTGTCGGGTACATGCTGCAAGGCCAGGTCAAACACGGCGCCAAAGTCCGACGTCACGAGCGCCGCGTGGTCCTTCCATGGGATATCGCCATGGAGATCGTACAACATGGACAAGATGGACGACGTCGTGTGGTTGGCGGCCACCGCGTCGGAGGGCGCGAGCTGGGCCAGCCACTTGAGCAGCGTTACAGTGCTGGCACAGGGTTCAACGTCGTTCAGCCACGCCAGCACCGTGTCACAGAACAACTGGTCCAGGGGCTCCACATCCGGCAGCTGCAGCGGCAGCTCGGCCCACGGGTCCCCAGTCGTCGTCGGCGTCCATTTGGTCACCAAGTACACGTGCAACGGATGCTCCTCCTCTTGTGTGTTTGCCATGTCATTAGCGTCGACTAGTTGTGGTACGTGGGTGTGTAACATGCCGGCAATGTGCCGTGTAAAGTACACTTGATGGTCTCGGCCGTCGTCGAGTGCCGACGTGAGCTGCAGGAGCATGCGACAGCGTTCCAGCGACAAGCCACGGGCACACCACACGGCAATGGCCTCATCAAAAGGAAAAGTCGGCGATTTGTCTCTTGTGTCAAGGACAAACTCGACATGTGACACTGCAAGCAACGCCAGCAACGCGCTCCACAGCACTGCGTTTCCCAGCAGCGCTACATCCATCGACGAGTTGCCTTGAACGTGTCGAGAAGATACCAACTTGTACAAGTCGGAGACAATCTCAAGTCGCTTGGATGGCGTGAGGCGGGCGCCAAATACGGCCGGGCTTTGAAACGTGTGGCCATACATCGGCGGCACGGACGATGTCGCAGAGGGCAACCCGACGAAATGATTGGCCAGCCACACAACGTGGTCGGTACTCACGCCCGACAGAAACGGTTTCGTGGCTTCATATGCCAAGTCGACATTGCTTTCATGAGTCCAGATTATGTCCATGTAGATGACAATCACGGCGCTAGCAGGCACATTGTGCAGTTTGGACAAGAGCATCGCCAGGGTTTTGATGGACGTTCCAGATAAGTGCGGGATGGCGGCTTGCACGGCAAGTTGGACGTCTGCGGGCGTGCAAAACGTTGTCGCAGGGCCGCAAAAGTGTGCAATGTGGACAGGTAGACCGGCTTCGCGCAGCTTTTTCGCACACGCGACGAACAGTTTGAGCCGGTCCACGGGGATCATGGTACTCTGCGCCACATCGTCGTCGTCCTTCTTAACCTTGTCGCAGGGCGTTTGGTCGTCGTGTAGTAATACTAGTACTAGTCGCTTGTGGCATTCCAAGCAAACACGCCATAGAAATTCCCATGCGATCGAGTCGTATGGGTTGACACGGAACAACGTCACATGTAGCAACCGTCGACTCAGTGTCATCGGTTCAGTGAGCAAGTGTTCGAGCAACGGAATACCGCGGGGCGGCACCACCACTTGATGGGCTTTCTTGAGCTCTACATCCCTCGTCGTCGTCGCAGTTTCTGCGAGGTCAGATACGACCAGCGACTCGAGAAAGTGCATACAGAGCTCCCATGGTCGTATGCGATACTGTTCACACAAGGTAAACGCAATCGTCGTGCTGGTGGTGTTGTGATTCTGATTGTAATGCAGCAATGCCACGAGAATGCTATCTCGGTACACGTGATCGACTTGGAATCGACCCCGATCCAACGATCCCAGCAACCTCTCGACAATGTCTAGGTCTGCTGATTGCTTGGACTCGACCTGGAGCGATGCAAACGGGGCCGCGAGCTCGGGGTACCAAGGTGAAAAGAAGGCGTGGGCGGCAGTCGCCAAGTGCGATAATTTCCCAGCAGAATCCTTCCCGTCGCCGAGGTTACCACACGCGGCCGTCCATATGGCAAAGGCGCGGGATGGCGGCAGCGCGTTCAAGTAGGCGATGGCCAAGTCCATGTCATGACCAGTGTCAAGCAGCGACGCCGCCAGCCGACCCACGAGATCAGCTAGTCCATCGTTATCACCGTCTTCTTTGTCATCTTCGTGCTTGACGGGTGCTTCGTTGATGGGCTGCAGCTCGGCAACGACAACGTCGGTAGCAAATACCGCAACCAGCTGCATCGACGCTGATAGAGATTGCTGGTACAGGATCGAGTCGTGCTGGATAATATCTTGGTGCACACTGAGTTGGTCCAGTAGCCACTCGGATATGGACACGCGCCGGTTGTCCATCTTTTCAGCGGCAATGTCGGCATCCGTGAGTCGGAGGACCTTCATCGCTCGTACCACTGCGTCGAGTTGCTTGGCGGCGTCGAGTAACGCTAGGAAGGCCACCGACGGGTCTGGCACCGCCATCACCGCCACCCGACTCAGGTCCCGCCTCGCCTCATAGTAACCCTGACCTCCTCCAGTTGTTGTCAAGTCTAACGCGAGCGATGTCACTTGAGCCACGATCGCGTCGTTAGCCGCATCATCATCGTTGATGGCGGTTTTGTCCCGTAGTAGTGCCGTAGTCAGTTGGATTGCATTCAACACGTGGCCAGTCTGGAGGTACGCGTACGCGGCCCACACACGCATCTGCGACAGAGTTTTGCTCGTGTTGTTGGTCAAGTCGAGCCATAGAGCCACGTCTTGCAACTGATCCAAGTGGTCAATGCAATCCTGCGGTCGGTGCAGTAGTAGCTCTTGAACTGTCGCGAGTCGGGCGGATGGCGACAGGGCCAAGATCGATGACGGCGAGATATCGTGGCCATGGCACTGCTCGAGCCATTGGGTGGCTTGTACGATCGCCTTGTACGACGTCGAGATAGCACGAATAGGATGATCTTCTTTGTTTGCTTCGAGGGTTTGTTCGGCCCACGCACAGTACGTCAGCGCGAGCGCAATCCCGGGACTTGTGGATGACGGCGCCGCTTGAAAATGACACGCCGCGGCGTCCACAAGCAGTTGCGGGTGTGGACATAGCTGGCGGAGTCGCGGCGATGGCGCCGACGACGTCGCCAGCAACGAACGGACCACCATCGCCCGAGTCGAATCCACAGACAATACACTTGGAAACGCATACAGTTGGAGCTGTAGCATGTCATCGACGAGCTTGTCCACGTTGATAACGTGGTTTGGCTGGTGGGTGGCAAATGCACAACATCGTCGCACTAAGTCGGATGCAAACAACGAACACGGCAAAGTCGTGGTGAGGTGTTGTTGGTTGGGGGGATGTTGTTGGGGAGATGTTGTTGGGGACGACGACGATGACGTGGCACTCGCATGCTGCTGCTGCTGTTTCAATGTCTTGGGGCTGACATATACGTGATATGAGGCCAAGATCTCCATACCCGTCATCAACCGCTCCAACGCGTCTGCTTCCTCTTGCAACGAAACGTCTGGTAACACTTTGGGCAGCGTTTCGAACATGACCCACGCACATTCGATAAACGCTTGCATATTGCTACGATATATCACAAACCAACGTTATATAGACGTTCCAAACCGTTCCAAACTTTCACGACTTTCGAGTGTAGATCGAATCGAATGAAATACTTGATTCATAGAGTATATATATGGAAAAATGGCCTGGCCAATCAAAGTGCACAGAGAATGCAAATAAAACTGTTTTCAACCAATCCTCGGGTAGAATCGTTTAGCCCAACAGTTTGGCAAACTGTCCAAATTGAAGTGATCGATCCCATACATATTGAATAAGCTTATAAACATCTGCCCCCAATCTAAAATACGGATACTATTGGTTCAAATATACCATCAAGTACGATACATTGTCACAGGTCAAGTCGATAGAATCGAATTTGGGAGTACGTACGCTCAATTGAATAAGCTGCGCCAAATCGACCGACAATTGATCGACCAATCAAAACCCCCGAATTTGAATCAAATGACCAATCAAAACTCTCTCTCGAACCCATCCAACACTCGAATGAGTGTGTGACTGATATATCTGTTTATTGTACGTATACATACAAAACGCAGTATAAACAAATATACTATCGATCGATGGATATTTATTTTTGGTCAAGCAGCACGACACAAATCGATATGTATTTTTAGCTCAAACGAGCATATCTCTAGAATATCTTTCCGCATGGTGATTCTATCCCCACATGTCGAAAGACAATCGCGTAAAACACAGTGTCGCATATATATATCGTTTTGGCTTGGGTATATATATATATATATTGGACATTCATGTAAACATTGTAGTTCGAGTAGTACACCAGTAAGTAATACACTCACACACACACACATACCCGTCGTTGGAGCCACCGCCTTCTTCTTCTTGTTGGTTCAACTCAAAGCCAAAGCAGCATGCCAGCACCACAGAAACCAACTGCGTGACGTCTTGTATGTACCGCGCCTCGGGAGCATTTGATGCCAGGGGGCTACTGGCTTGGATGATGCGACTCGCCCATGCAAAGTCGGGCAGGTTCGTCAGATCCATCGACGAAATGTACGCGCAGAGGTCGACTTCTCGGATAAAGCCACGGCGGAGCACGGTCAGCAGCGGATCGGACGCGGCGGCGGCGGCAGGATGCCCGCGAAGCAGCTGGATCTTGGCGGACGAAGTGGTGGTGGAGTTTTGGTTTTGCTCCATCTCGTGGCGCCAGTCTTGAATTGTCCAAGACGGCGTCAGTTGAAACTCGACCGCGAACAAATATAATTGGTCGAATTCACGCTGAAGTTGCGCCAAGCGTTTGTGGGGATGGTTCGAGTGGGATGATGCTGATGGCAACGTTGTCGCAGAATCGATAGGACCTACCACACATACACAACATAGATAGTTATATATATATATTGTCGATTTGATACAAATTTGGGGATGGCGCCGACCAAACCGATCCACAATCGATCTGATTGGTTGAACATTCATTGAGAAGGTTTTGATTGGCTAATAATTTTGAGCTCATCTGAAGTAGCCAATCAAATCGATTTAAATTCCAACGAGAAACCACGAAATTTCACTCGAAAGCACAATAGGCAACTAGGGTATACACACAACACAAACGGACGAAAGAGATATGGGGAGAGGGGGTGGGTGATGCAAATCCTCGATGATAGGATCATACGGAGGATATATATATATATATATATTGTGGATTCGAATATCCAGACCCCGTCGAATCAATCGAATGATCTCGCCGAATCACGAATCATCGAGACGGTATTATTAGCTAATAATCCATTTTTGAGTGGATTTGATTGGCTGCTCTTGCAGAAACGAGGACAAGTATATATTCAACCAATCACAACTGATTCAATATATTGATTAGACAAACCAGGCGAATTTTAAAAGTTTATAGCGAATAAATCACAATATATAGACAACTACATGAGCATACGAGTCGACAATACCAAGAGAAGCGTCGTTGGTGGAGATGGACACCCACGCCAACGCCAGCAGCGCCATCGCGTCTTCAATCAGTCCAAATAAACTGTCCATTTCAAAGCATCGTGAGGCAAACCAGTGGCCCAGAGCTTCTCTCTTGCCATCTTCTTCTGATTCAAACGAGTGGTTGTAGGCAGCCACAACGTCTGGGGTCACATCCGGGCCTTCACGGAGAACTACCTCCACGACGCTCATCCCTATAATACAAGCAAATCAAACCGAAATACATGATGAAAAGGATATATATATATATAATATACCATCTGATCCGATAGAATACGAAGGGAACGAAGGATTCGAGTGGCCGGGATGGTGGGGAAATCGAATGGCGGGCAGCAAATGCTGAAACGCTCGGGGTGGAATGGATGCTGGGAGGGCACTGAGGATCGAACAGCGGTGGGGCACCACGTGGTACCCGTGTCGCAGAAATACCACCTATGACATATCACATGAACGCCGTAATCAAAAGTGATATATCAGGCATGACGTGGTCAAAAAGTAATCTATACCAGACATGACAAACATATCAAAAATGATATATATTAGTCATAACGTGATCAAACGTGATATATATATAGCAGACACGACATGATCAAAAATGATATATTAGACTAAAGTGATATATCAGACATGACGTGGTCCAAAGTGATATAAATATATTATCAGAGACATGACCAAAGGAATGTGTATATATCTCCGACACGACGAATATCAGGGATCATATCACATGGGGGACGACAGATGACGGACCGTGAGCGCGGACACGCGGCCGGCGGTCGCCAGCGCCATCGCAATGTCGACCCAGGACCTGTCTAGGAATTGGCGAAACGATGCCACGTCAAAACAGTCGGCCAACGTGTCCATGGCCACGACCAACTCGAACGACGAAGTAGCAGGAACGCTACATTCGTCCGCCCACAACAGCCGCAGAAACGTGTCCAGTCGATCGAGGAGCTGGAGGAGCGCCACGTCATGACCGCCATCTACAACCGTGGACAGTCCAAACGACCACACGCGGTGGCATGCCGCGGGGGTGTCCAGCACGCAATGGCGGATCGAGTCGAGGGACCAACGTATGTCGAGAATGTTGGTCACATGCATTCGCAACACTTGCTCTAGCTGGGCCGACGTCGACGTGGCGGCGCTCTGTACGAACGCGACCCACGCAGCTTTATGCACGACATCTGCGTCCAAAGCAGCAGCAGGATGGACACGGGCCAACTCGAGCGCGTCGTCCCAGCGCCCTTGACTCACTCGACTTGCAAACACAACCTACATCAACATAGGTGATGATTCCTCTAATATTGTCCAAAATATCGATTAATATCATGAAACGGGAGCCCTCTCCCTCTGCAGAATCATCGAATGTGTTGGGAGAATCGAGTAAAGAATCTCCAGAGCCAATCAAATATCACGTCCTGTCGAATTTCTGCCAATCAAACAAACGTTTGACATATTTGCATTGGGCAAAACCAATAGGATCAATTAGATTTCAAAGGTACTGTGCGAAATGACTCGTTATGTCCAAATTTGGGTGAAATTCAAAATCATCGAATGTCTTCAGCGAGAATGGATTCGTTACAACCATTCAAAAATATCACGTCATGTCGAATTTGTGCCAATATAAACGTAAGATTCACCCGCATGCATATACACGATATATGCGGCAAAACCGCACATCAACCAATTCTGATGTATCCTATAGTTTGTACAAGTTTAGATCAAATGAGTGGATTCCAATGGTAGGTAAGTAGGTACTGTATTGGCGAAACGACTCGCAAGTCCAAATTTGGGTGAAATATCCACGTCCCAATGACAAAAAAGGGTGATCATTCCATCCACAATGACATAAAAGGGTGAAAAATCCACCCAAACGACAAAAAAGGGTGACCATTCCATTCTTCCATTCCAATGACAAAAAAGGGGGATCATTCCATCCACAATGACAAAAAAGGGTTATCATTCCATCCACCATGACATAAAAGGGTGAAAAATCCACCCGAACGACCAAAACGGGTGACTTACCTCGACGGGTACGTCTTGAAACTCGACCAACGCCCACGTCGTCGTCGTCTCGTTGTTATTTAGTGGACAAAAGAGGTGGTAAAACACGCCATCCCCCGTGGACGAGTTGTTTGTGAGTGCATGTGACACCGTTGCGGAGGCCGACGGAGATACGTCAGAAGACGGGGGGGAGGATATCATCAGCTTGTCGCCTTGGACGCAGCACAAAAAGGGGGCGGCGGCGGTCGTGGCGGCTACCACCAGCGTATGGGTATGGAACCAGGTCAAACTGACGATGGGGAACCCTCCAACCAGCGACCACGGGACCAGCGTCGCACATGTGTCCACCTGTGAAGTATTACATTTACACATGTATATTGTTGATGTGTTTGCTCTAAACTGGAGTGGCGGTATATGCATCGACGCAACCAAATGTATATGAAGTATCATCGACAGAGTAGGATTTAGCCAATCAGATAGCAGGAAACAACCATCATCAACGTCCAATTAGTGTGTGACTTGAATCACCACAGGACGACATCTTTTTACATACAAATGTCAGTACAAAGAATCGATAGATTTGGTGATATTCAGCACAAAAGTAGTCCAAATTTTGGGCAAAAGGACAATATTGTCAAAAATCGATTCGAAACTGGAGCCCTCACTCAGCAGAATCATCGAATGTCTTGGGAGAATCGAGTAAAGAACCGCCAGAGCCAATCAAATATCACGTCATGTCGAATTTCTGCCAATCAAACAAACGTTTGACCCCTCGGCATGGGGCAACACCAATATATACGAATCTTTGTATAGTATAGTGTTTACAAGATGAAATAGCGTCACATAGATTCATAAGCTATGTGGCGAAATGACTCCAAATATGGGTGAAATCGCTCAAGGTCAGTATGATCAAAGCAACCGAATGATGTTGGAAACCCAATATATTGTGTATAAAATCAAAACCTATGGAAGTCAGGAGAGCCCGACCGAGTGGCTAGCCACCACAGAACGGAAGTTTTCAAGCAAATAATTCGATGCAAATCATGGGGAAAATCGTCACAGCAACGAATATAAAACCAAGGATTTTGCTATCGACATACAACTAAATAGACAAAGGCAGGAAACCCAAGATCATATGTGTCAAGTCGTCTGACTCTCGGAAGAATTGGTCATATATACAGTGTAGTGGGATTATTGGGAATATTCGCTAAAAAATTGCAAAATTCGCCTGGTTTGTCTACTCAAGATTGAAGTTTTGATATTATTGGTTGAATATCCTTGTCCTTTCTGCAAGAGCCAATCAAATCCACTCAAAAATGGATTATTAGCCAATAGCGTCGTCGACTATTCGAAGTAATTAGTTTTAGAAACCGAATGATTTTAAAATAGAATTTAAACATACACGCATGTAAGTATTGTTCATTCTTTTGATGATTCGAAATTCGAGTGTTTGGGTGCTCAATCGAAGAATCTCCAAATCGAAGGCAGAGAATCGAAAATCGACCAATCAAAACACAAAACATGAATCAACTAGCCAATCAAATCATCCACGCATAATTCAACATCGAATTAGTATGTGGTTGAAATTAGTGTGATCTTTACAAAAGTTAGTACAATGAATCAATCGATAGATTGTCCAAATACTGGGTAAAATCACAATACCTGTCGGATGGAAACGTGTCCCGAGCTGTCGCGCAAAGCCACGAGTGTGTTGTCTGGAGAAATTGCGATGTCTTGGATGTAGCCGGGATAAAGTTGTTCGGCGCCCGACAGCAACGACCACCACGAGGACGGGGCGGCCGCGGCTGGGACGGCGTCCATGACAAGCTTGTCGTGGGCGAGCACGGTCGAGTAATGCAACAGCTCGGCGGATTCGTCCAGAACGTTCCATATGCTGAGGGTCGATCCGTGCTCCATGTCCTTGGCGTTGCTTCGAATGCCGCCGGCGAGGACGAGGAGCCGCCCGTTGTCGCAGACGTCGCACGCGGTGAGCGTCGGGTGCGACTGCGACACTTGCGCCAAGAGTTGGATCGTGTCGTGGGCACTCTGGACACGAACGCGGCACACTGATCCGTCGATGCACACCACGAGAAGGACAAACTCGAAGAGGGACGCGCTGGCGACGCGGCTTTTCACAAGGAACGATTTCCACGCGGACGACGGAAGGTCCACTGCGCGGGAGAGAATGGCCTCACCACCGTAGTACGCGTGAAGCGTGTTACCGGACGTCCACCCAGTCACCACCATGCCATCGGGACTCAGCGATGCACTGGAGGGATCGCAAGGAAGGGAAATCACCTCGGCGTCTTGCAGGAGCACACACGACTTGGCCATTGTCACCATGAACGACGAGACGTCGCCATCGCGTTCCTCTGTGGGGGAATAAAGTCGAACGACGTCGGACGCTTCATGTCCTGGAAGGGAGTACTCGAAGAGTGGCCTTGGATCAAGCATGAGCGGCGGCGGCGACGACGACGACAGCGATAGATTTGCCAGTTTGAAAATACAGAGGGGTCTCATGATAAAGCCTCAATATATATGCAAAATATATATTGAATATAGAAACTTCATATATTTGCATTTTTTCGCTTATATAAAACGTATGCAATTTAACATTGGAAGGACCACACCTATTTTAGCCAATCAAAACGTGCCACATTACTTTTAAACACAACACTATGAAACAACTACAGTACATGTCGTAATTTTTAAGCATCGTCGTTAAACCAAGGGAGGTGGCGGTGCATGCTCGCCTATACTATGATGATAACTGCACCGGATGTTCTTCAATCGAGGATATCATCCCAATCCGGATTGAAACGTGTGGCCGTTTCAGAATCAAAATATGAGGCTACTGGATTGGTTAAAATTATCCATTTTCACGACGTTTCATTGGTCCATATCAACACGACCTTTATCCGGCACTTGGATCGCTCTCTACTGTATTGCCATTTCAATCGAGCAAAAGTCAAGGCGCACACGAACAAGCATGTCGCGCGGCGGAATCGACTTCTCCGTGGACAGCATCCCCAGCAACTCGTATGCGTACACCAACTGCGTGTACACGACCAAAGAAGACTTTGTGGCGCTCGTGAACCTGTGTCCGCGCGGGGTGACGACGAAGGAACAGATCCACGAGTTCGGCCTCAACGTATGGGTCAACCAAAAGTACGTGTTTGCCGCCAAGCCGCTTCGGGAAATGGCCCCCAAGGCCATCGGCATGGGGGGCATGCAGCGCATGTGCCTGAACCTCGCCAAGAGTCAAATGTGCTCCGTCACCCCGTGGGTTCCTGACGTCTCGCGCGGGTTTGCGATCGCGACCATCCATCTCGAAGTGCAGCAAGTGATGCGCGCGGGGTCAAACCAACTCAACTTTGACTGCGACGTCGTCAAGGCCAACTTTGAAAAGCTGTACGTGAACCAGGTGTTTGCCGCGGGGCAGCTCCTCGTCGTCGACGTCGACGGCGCGCCGGTCAAGTTGAGCGTGTCCAAGGTCGAGCTGCTCGCCCCCCCGGACGGCGTCGCCCCGTCGTCCCACCAATCCACCATGGGTCTCTTCGTCAAGGGGAGCGCGCTGGTCTTCACCAAGTCCAAGGACGCTCCCGTGAAGCTCGTCAACCAGGTCTGGCCTTTCTCGATGATGGTGTCATGACGTTTTTGGGGGGGCGGGGTAGGGTGCGACGGCAGGGGGGGGTAACCGCATTTTCAAACCGGATTTCGACTTTTCCAAGCTCGGGATCGGCGGCCTGGACAAGGAATTCAACGACATCTTCCGCCGCGCGTTTGCTTCGCGTGTGTTTCCGCCCGCGATCATCGAGAAGATGGGCATCAAGCACGTTCGAGGTCTGTCTCTTTATTTCATACGGCAACCATCCTCGTGGGGTGATGACACTCCATTCCTTATACCCCCCCCCTCCTTCATCTACTGGGATCATCTATCTCTACATCTCAATATGGATCTACATCTCAATATGGCTCTACATGGTTGGATGTATCGTGTAGGCATGTTGCTGTTTGGGCCGCCAGGGTGTGGGAAGACGTTGATTGCGCGTCAAATCGGCAAGGTACGCAATTTTGCTGTGTTTTTCAGTGTTTTATCTTTATAAGTTTATGGAGTAGTCTTATATTTCTTCGAAATGGCATGACCTGTGTGAAGAATGTGTCTCTCGGTGATATACGATATATATATATTAAGTCGTGTTGATGTGTATATATTATGTCGTGTTGATATTTATATAGTATGTCGTGTAGATATGTATACATTATATCGTATAGATATTTAAATATTATATCGTGTAGATATTTAAATATATTATATCGTACCTATTCTAAAGTACTTTGAAAAGAAAGATATGTATATGATGTCGTCCGATATGATTCGTACCAATGAATGCAATATTGAATGATGGGTTTTGTATTTTGGCTGCATGTTTCGCGGCTTTTTTGTTTATATATATATATATATATATATATATATCCTTATTGATTCTGAAAAATCCACAACTCCAGTCCCGTGTTGTTGCTGGCGTGATGGATGTCGTGCTAATAACGTGGTGTCTATCGGCTTCATTACATCTATATATATATATTCTTTTCACAACCCAGAATATATATATATCTTGTCGTTTTGTATTTAAAAAGCATGGGAATGTATGACTTATGGACCTGTGCTAATTGATTGATTGTAGGTGCTGAATGCAAAAGAGCCCAAGGTCGTGAACGGTCCCGAGATTTTGGACAAGTTTGTGGGCGAGTCGGAGCGCAAGATCCGCGAACTGTTTGACGACGCGCGCCGGGAGCAGAACGATCTGGGCGAGGCGTCCGAGCTGCACATCATCATCTTTGACGAGATCGACGCCATCTGCAAAGCCCGCGGCAGTTCGCGCGACGGCACGGGCGTCGGCGACTCGGTCGTGAACCAGCTGCTCACGCAAATCGACGGTGTCGATAGCCTCAACAACGTGCTCGTGATTGGCATGACCAACCGAAAGGTAGGATGATGGTGCATGTGTGTGTGTGTGTGATATGGTTGGAATGCTTGTGTTTGCTTGTTTTGGTTTTTAAAAATATTATTTTTGGTTTTGAAAATATTAAAGGTTGGATTTAGGATTTGTTTTTTATTATATTTGTATTTGTATAAAAAGTATTAAAAGTTGGATTCTAGAGGTGTTGGGGTTTTTTTTAATAGTGATTTTTTTTTTTTATAAAAAATATTGCGTGTATTCGCAAACGATGCAACAGGTCGTCCAAGAAATAAACTGACTCGAGTTGGTGCAGTACATATATATTTATATATATATATATGTAGTACAATGAGATGGTGTTGTGTTCCACCCAAATATATTTGTGGACGTTTGGGTTTATATTCGCCAAATATTGTAGTGTATTCGATTCGATATTGGATCAAATGTTGTTGAAGCATGGACAAGCGAATACTGTACAAAGTGTAGTTCTTAGTATACCGGATTTGCCCAAAATGCAGAGAAATCCGTACTTTGGATTGGCCAAAAGTCGATCGAACGGGTGATTTTGATTGGATAGTTGTAGAATCGATTCTCGTACAAGGGCGTCGATCGATATTCTGTTGAATGTGCCCCTCACTGTTCAATATATCGATTTGACATACACTTTGGGTTTTAGTATGACGTTCACTTTTGTGGATTTCGACGTCCCCAATGGTTTATAACTTTGAATGTGTGATGACTGACGTTGGCGTAGGACATGCTCGACGAAGCGTTGATGCGTCCGGGGCGGCTGGAAGTGCAAATGGAAATCAACCTGCCCGACGAAAAAGGCCGCGCGCAGATCCTGACCATCCATACCCAGCGCGCCAAGGACAACGGATTCCTCGACGACTCGGTCGTGTCGGACTTGAGCCACTGCCTCGCGCCCGTCACCAAGGAGTATCTGAACCTGGCGCAGCGCACCAAAAACTTCAGCGGCGCCGAAATCGAAGGGCTCGTACGCGCGGCCACCGCCCACGCTTTGTCTCGAGGTACGATGCGGTTGCCCGTTGCATTGTTAAGAGGGTGGTCTATTATGTGGATTCTATGGTTATGAACGAGAATAGATATATATCTTTATGCATATGTACATGAACGACTTGTACCAAGAGGTATCTTTTTATAAATATATCTTTTCATTTGTATAGATATAGGAACGACTTGTACCAAGAGGAATCTTTTTATAAATATATCTTTTCATCTGTATATATATATATATATCCCACTGAGAGTATCCGGGGCATACATACATACGTGCATACATACGATCATAATCACATATATGATTTTATATATACGTCCCGTTGGATATAAAGTATGTTTGGGGTATACATACCCTCATAATAGGACTCGAAAGTATTTATCCATATAATTTGAACTCGGGTGTGATTTGAAAAATCCTTGGAATGCTGCAGCCACAACGGAGGTTGCGACGTTTGACGAAATATATATATATATAGCTAAAACCTATTTCAAATCATATTCGTGAACATATCGTCACACAAATCCTTGCGACGATAGGCACGGACGGCAAGACGTTCCACGCGGCGGCGAATTACATCCCGAAGCTGTCGATGGCGGATTTTGACTTGGCGCTGACCGAGATCAAGCCCAAGTTTGGGTCTCCGCAGGACTCGCTCTCGTTGTACTACCGCGCGGGATTGCACTCGTTCGGTCCCGAGTTTGAAACGGTCAAATCGACGCTCAACGCGCTCATTCACCAGGTCAAAGCGAACGAAAACACGCCGCTCATGAGTGTGCTCTTGCACGGGGAACCCGGCAGCGGCAAGACGGCGCTGGCAGCCGCGTGCGCCGTCGCGTCCGAGTACCCGCTGGTGCGTCTGATCAAGGCGGCGGACCTGATTGGTCGGCAGGAAGGCGCCAAGTGTGGACACATTTACACTGTGTTTGAAGAGGCGTACCGGTCACCGCTAAGCATGATCATCTTGGACGACATCGAGCGGCTGCTGGAGTATGTTGGTACGTTGGTGTCAAACAATCCAGAGATGGATCTGGGAGGATGTACAAATAGATGTATATATATATATATGGATGTACGTACGGGAGCTGTATGTTTGTGTGTTTGGGTTTACACGAAGATGCGATAGGCGTTGTTAGGTAGACGTGAATACGCTAGTTTCCTATGTTGGTTGATGTTAGTGCTGCAGTTGCTATAAGATAAAGCGTTGTGGCTACATTTACAGACTATTGTGATGATGTGCGACCACCCTTCATATATATATATGCCTTGCAATTTGCTGATTTACTGGAGAGAATGGATGGATGGATGGAAGGGTTGAATATATTAATATAATCAAAATATATTCACTCGAGTGAATCATATACTTTTATTAAAAAATGAATTGTCGTTCAAACATCAATGTTGTGCGTACTGTGTCTGTTGTGATGTCTTTTGTGTACATATGTTTGAAAACTACATTTTACGTCATCGAAACCCATACAACATACTCATGTTGTGTATTATATATATATATATATATATATTCTGTGCCCACTGCTGAGTGATTTTAACTTTATAGCGTAATATCAATATCTATATATATATATATTCTGTGCCCGCTGAGTGATTTTAACTTTATAGCGTAATATCAATATCTATATATTGATATATTCTAAATTCATTGTAGGCCTCGGTCCTCGCTTCTCCAATGCCGTGCTCCAAGCGTTGTTGGTATTGATCAAGAATCCCGTGCCAGTACTCGGACGCAAGCTGCTCGTCGTGGGCATCACGTCGTCGTTTGACGAGATGAAGATGCTGGGGCTGCCCACCGTGTTTGACGTAACGCTCGAGGTGCCGCTGCTCCGCCATCCGTCCGACTTTGACGCGGTGCTCGTCGGCGCCGCGGTCAACATTGAACCGACCGAGCGCAGTCGCGTGGTGGAATTGCTCGGCCAAAAACCCATGGGCGTCAAGAAACTGCTGTTGATCTCGGAAATGGCGCGCCAACGCACGGCCGACGACCACGAGGAAGCCACTACTACTGTGATCACGTACCAGCGCTTTGTGGACTGTCTCTACAAGTTTGGGTTTTAACGAACACGCGTAACAACTATATCATCGACAGACAACATATACATGGGTTTCGAACGAAATATATTGCAAACGACGATACTTTCTATATTAAAAGATATGTGCATTTCTCCCCAATGAATTTGGACTTGAGAGAGTCGTTTCGCCAAATATAGCAACCATTCGAATCGAATAGGATTGGATCCAACTTATGATATACTACTTGCAAAGATAAGGGGGGGGTGTACATCGCAAGCAATGTGTGCCTTGATCTGCACGCATCGATCGACCTGCAAGCAAAATACACTAGTAGAGGAACTCAAAATCAAGTGCCCTATACTAGTATTACTAACTTGTGTTGATTGCCGTGGACAAACAGTAAGGCGTTGATAAAAGTGCAATGTGCACTAACGTTACCGTTGACGTCGGATTCATGACGTTGCACGCATTCGTAAGAGATTGACTGGCACGCTTGGTGAAGGTTCCGGGGTTCGGTTTCAATCGTTTCATCCCGTGTCACAGTTACACGAAGAACCAAACCACATGGGGGCGAGAGCGCTCTCCCAGCGCTGTCGTCTTCAGGATGGGCCACCTGCCATCGACGACCTAACGTGGGCTTTCCAGCCATCGACGGCATACTCTACATCTACTTTGCACAACGTCTCACATGCAGCCCTCCACTAGTCGGCTTTGCATCATGGCGACCGTGCTGGCGGTGGTGATGGCAACGACGGCGACGGTCTGCTGCGGCGGTTCTCATGATGTTATCGCGCCCGACGTATGGGCCGATTTGCACGCATCTCCCAACGCCACGGTGAACGTCCTCGTGAGTTTTGTGGGCGGCACGACCAAAGCGCTGGCCGACGCGATCGCCGTCGACTTGCACGATTTGCACTTGGCCTCGTCCAACTCGCGTGTGCGGCAGCACTTGGTCAAATCCACCGCCAAGTCACAGGCCATTGTGCAGTCCCTCCTTCGCGGTGACTCTGCCCACCCCCGTCGCCGCTTGTCTGTCAACGACGAAGCAGCAGAAGCGTTTTCGTCCCCAGAGATTTGCCCTGGGCTTGACGACCTGCGAGTGCGAGAAATCTACCTCACAAACCAACTCCATGTACGTCGCCTGACGCTGTGCATGGCAGAGCAGCTGGCGCTGCGGTCGGAAGTCGCCTCTATCCGATATGGCGCCACCCTCGTCCTCGACACCACCACCCCTCCATCCTCCCACGTGACAGACGTCTCGACTACACCTTGGAACGTACGTGCTGTCGACGCGACTCCTCTGTGGACTGCCAATATCACTGGGCAAGGCATTGTCGTGGGGGTCATTGACAGCGGTGTTCGCAGCACCCACGACTCGTTGCGTAGCAACTTTCGGCAGAACTATGGGTGGTTTGATGCCGTGGAGCTGGCCCCGTACCCGGTTGATGCATATGGTCATGGAAGTCACGTGGTGGGCATTGCATTAAGTGTGGCGCCGTCTGCGCAGTGGATTGCGTGTCGCGCGTGCAGCAGCGGCGGGGGTTGCCATGAATCAGACTTGCTGCTGTGCATGCAGTTCATGCTGTGCCCCACCGACTCCAAGGGGGAACACGCCGACTGCTCCAAGGCCCCCCGCGTAGTCAACAACAGCTGGGGGAGTGGGATCGCGAATTGGCCCAACTATAAGGCGGCCGTGCAGGCGTGGCGCGAGGCCGGCATCGTGCCAGTATTTTCCGGGGGAAATGCTGGGGCCTCCGGGTGCATGTCGGTGAAAAGCCCGGCCGACTACGACAACGTGATTGCCGTGGGCAGCGTGGACGCTACGAACGCGCTTTCGGCGTTTAGTTCCCGCGGCCCCACCGTCACGTCCGGCATGACGAAACCGGACGTGGTCGCCCCCGGGGTCGCCATTCGGTCCGCGTCGAGTCAGGCGGACAACCAAACCGTTGAGATGTCGGGCACGAGCATGGCAGCCCCCCACGTCACGGGGGCCATCGCGTTGCTTTTGAGTGGAAACCCCGCCTTGTCGTATGACCAACTATACAAGGCATTGACACAGGGAACGTCCATGAGCCCTGTCAAAACGACCGACGAGTGTAGGCGTCCACAAGATGAGGGGGCTAGCAACAACAATCTCTCCGGATACGGGCTTGTGGATGTTGCCCGCGCGGGACGTGTCCTTGGGCTTGAAAGCAATCGACCAGGATGTGGGGGGATATTATATGCAGGTTTGCTTGTTTGAATCACTATTTTGAACGAGAAGCAGAGTTTATAACAATACTACTTACGTAGTTAACTAGTGTTCGAGATGTATGTCCTGGGGATGCCGTTGGAACGGATTAGAATTGTAGGAAAGGGGGTGTTAACGAGCGTTGTTCGCTATTTGAGCCACAGATTACGAGTAACGTTACTGTAGTACAGGACACGTCGTACCATAACGTTTCAGTAAGTTACTACTCCGGAGTACGTAGTACTACCGTACTGTACTGTAGTACTACCGGTACAGTAGTACATGATTAAAGACGTCAGACTCCTGTACACCACAGAAGCCTACCTGTAGGCTTAACAGTAGTACTGTACAGTACCGGAATGGAGAATGGATGGTGGAGGGATGTTGACTGTAGGTACAGTATGTATGCACTGGCCGAGCCATCACAATTGAACAGAGCGCCATAGTGAAAGACACGCTTGATGTACAGTATATCCTCTCTACCCGGTACTACTACATTGGACACTTGGCGGTGTAATGTTTGATTTGGTCATGTCGCTGGCAGGAGCACACTAATTTACAGTGCCCGTGTAAAAGCCATACCATAGGTACTTGTACTACGCATTAATAATATAGTATTCAGAGGTCGCTCATACACTATTTCAAGGTACACACGGATGTGCTTACTGTTAACTGTCTGTTACTTCTACTTCGGTTGTAAACCATTTGGGAATACTATTACTTCGAAGTACTGTAATGTAGTACGTCATGATACAGTATTGTTACGCATGATGTCGATCCTTCCCTCGAAGTGCTCATCGTGAATACAGTACACGTCGTTCCACTCGACAACACGACTAGGATGGTTCGAGTGATCCTTAGCTTTGTCGCTGCCGCCGCCGCCGCCGCTGCCGCCACCGCCTCCCCTGACAAAATCGACCCAAGTCTATGGCGTCTCTTGAACGCGAACGTCACTGCAAGCGCCATGGTGGAGCTGCGCCGCGAACCTGGCAGATTAGACCTGGAACTGCCCTTCGATACAAGCGCCGACATGGTTCGCCAAGCCTTGATGGATGCCACCGCCGCGTCCGCTGCGGCCGTGCAGGCGCTGTTCCACCCATCGTCTTCGTCCTCATCGTCGCCACATCGCCATTTGACATCGGCTTGTCCTGGCTTAGCCGCCCCTGAGCCCTTACACTTGTGGATCGTCGGTCGCTCGCACATTCCAGCGTTGACACGGTGCGTGGCGGAATATGTGGCGTCGTTGGATGCCGTGTTGCGCATCCGGGTCGAGGAAGTGGAGGAAGTGGACACGACGGCGCCGACGGCTATAATGATCCCTCGTGAGGACCTGCTCCCGCCTCTGTGGGCCACCGAGATGATCCGGGCGCCGGCCGTGTGGGCAACTGGCAATACCGGGCAAGGCATCGTCATCGGGCTCATCGACACAGGCGTTCGGTCGACGCACTCGCTGTACGCGTCGAAATTCCGCAGCGACTACAACTGGTTCGACCCGATCAACAAGACCACCACGCCACACGACTCGACCGGCCACGGAACCCACGTGGCGGGGCTGCTGGTCGGCGACCACGGCGTCGGCGCCGCCCCCGGCGCGTCGTTCATCGCGTGTCGCGGGTGCACCAAAGGTTGTGACGAAGCCCACGTGCTGGCGTGCATGCAGTTCATGTTGTGCCCGACGGACGCAGCCGCCGGCAACGAGAACTGCACCAAGAAACCACACGTGATCAACAACTCGTGGGGGAGCGCCACGTCCAAGGACGTGTACCAGCCGGCGTTTGATGCGATGGAAAGTGCCGGCATCGTCATGGTTGTGTCCAGCGGCAACGCTGGCCCCCACTGCAGCACCGTGGGGAGTCCTGCCGACTACCGGACCGCGTTGGCAGTGGGCATGATGACCGAGTACCGGTACCTGAACGCGCGCAGCAGCCGCGGCCCAGCCAAGAACGACACCACACTCGTCAAGCCCGATGTGTCGGCGCCGGGATTCGACGTGTACTCGGCTTCGAACGCCGGCGACCACCTCTTTGAGCCCCAGTGGGGCTCGAGCCAAGCCGCGGCCCATGTCTCAGGCATGGTGGCCCTCATGCTCGTAGCCAACCCCGCGCTCTCCCCGGCCCAAGTCCGCGCCGCTGTGATCACGTATGTCGAAACTGCTACTGTGGATGCCGCCGCCACGACCAACTGCGGCGGCTTGAACGACCTCAAGTTCCCAAACAATAACTACGGGTACGGCCTCGTGAATGCCAGCTACGCCGTCGATGGTGTCACGTCCACTGTGTCGAAACCGACGACAGTTGCCCCAACCTCTGCACCTACCCCCGAACCTACGACGTTGGCACCCCCGAGTATCACGACACTTGCACCCACTCCAGCACCTACCACTACTCGTGCCCAAACCGGTGAACCTACTCCCGTCCCAACTACTACATCTTTGTCCTGTTAATTCAGCATTGTTGCACTATACGTCGCTTTCAGTTTGAAATACTACTACAGTACGTACTATATGTAGGTAGTACATGTATACTAACTACTTCCAGGTAGTACAGCACTTCATCAGACCACCGATACCGCCTCCGCCAGAGCCGATACTACTATAGAACCACATGGTGTCGAACCGCTTCGCCAATTGTAACGACCAGGAGGGGCGGTGTGTAATCTTTGGTTTTTACTGCGCCCAACGCTTCAAACCTCGTGCTTCGACCGAATTTCTTCGAAGTTCGGTCCTCGAAACCCTTGTTATCCGGATTCTCCATAAGGGAAGGACGGATAAATCCTTGCGGAAATAATCCGGCGAAGCGGGGATCGAACCCACGACCTTTGAGTTAACTGTAAGACCACTGAGCTACATCTATTTTCCCTCCCCTCAAACTTGACGAGTACAATTAATAGTAAGCGTTTGTGGGCGAAATTAGTCGCCTGCGAGGTGAAGTATATTGTCGAAAGTGAAATTAAACGATGGTTGGCTGTGAATTATACTGCTGGTTTAGTGAAATATACTTCGAAGTAAACGTGAAGTTTTGAAGTCACCACGAAAAGAAAATGGAGGTCGTCGAAGTATAACCGTGGCCTGGTAAAATACTACTAGCTTCTGCTGCCACAATATTCTATCAGAAATCGGCCATTCTGCTAGAAAAAGCTTGACAATATTACAGTAGAGCTCTTTCGATATAATAATGTCAAAAAAATGGAGTTCCTAAATAAACGTGCCTCAGAAATCAGGAAAAATCCTCCAGAGTGTTTTCAGGTGATTTGCCCCAATTATGGCAGAAATAGAATACTACGTAGTACTACAGTAGTGTTTTCAAGTCGAATAGACTGGGCAAATCGATTTGAGTATGAACTAGCCAATCAAAATCCATTCTAACCCCCCCTTTACAAGATTCCAAAAAATAGGGAGATTTCGCAATTATGTCAAAATCCATGCTCGCGTCCGTAAGAACAATGACACGGACACGACCACGTACACGGATTAAATTTAGGCGATTTCACTGTATAAATAGATTTCCGCGTCCGGAATAATATTCATAAGGAATCAGCTACTTTGCAATAATGAATGCTGCCTATGGAAGGACTTGTCATGCTTATCAAGGGTTCTCGCTTCTTGAAGCCTGCCCGTCATCGCAGACTTCTGCTCGCACATTCCCGTCGGTCAACACCATACAAATACACAGAATCCTTCTGGAACTTTTCGTGGTTGTCGAGGATCAGGTGGAACCTGTGCGATGTTTTCTTGC